CTGAATCAAACTTATATGAATCACAATGCACAAGGGTTAAAACAAGGTGAAGATTACCAAAAATAAAAGCAAAAAAAAGAATATAAACACTTAAAATTAATCATAATATAATTAAAAGTCATAAAAATATCTCTTTTAGGTTTTACTGACTGCAAATTTAGGTCTGAAGTTTGAAACTCGTAATAAAGTGACATCAAAATTAAATAAAATTAAAAAAAAATAAGTAAACAATTAATCCTGATAACTATTATCAATTGAATAATCTATCAATGAAACATGTACACAAGGATAATGTACATAGCAAAGTAAAGAGCGTACAGTAGCAGAACCAGAGCTCATCAAAGCAGGTGGTGCAAGATAATTGCTTCCGAGAACTAGATGGTTCCTTTTCTTCACTCATATCACACTGTAACCAATGCACCTATTCCATCAAAAAAAAAAAGAAAAAAAACCAATCCAACTATAAAAAGCAGCATTTGGCAAGTCATTAAGAATAATGTGAGGAGAGGAAAATGGATACACAGATCAATATCTTTTCTTTCCAATGAAAGAACACAGAAGAATCTCATGATATTCAATGGTACTTCAACAATAACAGCAATAGATAACATGCCAATAAGTAACACTAGAAATATCCCTACACTCCTTGAAACCATATATCGTGTCCGTTTGCATTCCCATTCCAATTTATCCCAAAAATATGTCATGGTTAATTCCTATGGCCTCAAAAAAGCTCTCAACTTCTTCTCAATTGATTCAGAAATATTCAAAATCTCAAGTCTTTAAATTCCACTCTCCGAGTTACATTTCGGTTTCTTTTGCCTCCCTTACTGGTAACCATTCATAGGTTTATTCCTATATTATCCTACTTCTACTTGATGTTCTAGTGTACTTTATTAATGAAGGCACCAACCAATGACGAAAGAACCTAGAAAGAAAATTAATCACAAAATCAAAATAAAGCTTCATCAACTCCCAGAATTCAAAACATCAAACAAACAGAATATTATGAATCCGGCACAGTCAACCACAAGTTATAATGAATGCATGTGTAGAATAAGTCAGCCCATGAAGAAACAGTAATGTTCTTTTGGGAAAAAAATTGCTCAGTAACATAAAAGACATGACCGAGCTTTACATATGCCTTCTTTTTCATGCCGAGGGCATAAATACAGAAACACAAAATCTCTCTGTCTTCCTATATAAAGCATAAATATTTGACACGTGTATACCATTGTTTTGAAGCATAATAAATGGTTTCATTATTTTGGCTCTATTGTTTTAGGGCATAATCTAGAAAGTTTTGAAGATTTAGGTTCTATAGTAGATATACTAATTGACATGTAAATTTTTTGTAAATGGGTGGTGCTCCCTTAGCACCTCACATTAATACATCTTCTCTTCTTTTATTTCAAAAAAAAAAAAACATACATACTATTAGTATGTTAAGCTAAGATCAAGTTCAATTAAAATATAACAATGGATGAGACTCCTGGTTTAGTCCAAATATGTACTTCCTTATTGGCAGCCATCACAGTTGTTTGAAATGTTTCCTAGACAGCTTATTCAACCAGATCACCAGCTCGACTACAGCCCATAAAGACAATAAAATCCATCCCAGTTAACAACAATCAGCGAAGTACAGACTCGAAAATATTGCAGCATATCCTTCTTATGTAGGAAGAGATAGTTTTCTTATAATAATCTGGTTAATCTTCATGGCGAAAAATTAATAATTTTCACCAACTCAGCAATGAGTCCTCACTCTGAAGAACTCAATCCAAAGGTAGTTCACACGATAATGCAGAAATTTCACATCATAACCTCCTTCTCGTACTTAAAACCTCTGTACTAGTCATCATTAAAAAGAAAGAACCAGAAAAAGCACATAAATTAACAGAGTAATCAACAGATTGCAGTTAAATATCATAACAGAGATAGAGAGCGATGACAAGGAAATCGAAAATGAACACTGCGGCCATGGGAATACGTACTTGAGCAAGTTTAGGTTAAACACGAAACGCCAACATTTACCCAATAGAAAAGGCAAAATTTGAAATTTTTGTGAATCGAAAGATAATCTACAGGCTTTTATGCATGACATTATCAACAAATTAAAACTCGAAAACACAACAAGATAAAATTTTCTGGGCAAAAAAAGAGCCATAAATCCACACACGACGGAAAGCAAACCCGATACAGCTCAAGAAAATCCCTTTTGGGATTTCATCCAAAACAAAAAAGAAAACTTTTTGCAGACATATAAAAAACCCAAATTTGAAACGAGAGACTCAAAAAACAAAATCACCCACAGAGGACACTCAAATAACAACAACAGGGAAATAAAAGACTACCTTGATACAAAGACTGAAGTCAAGATCCTATCATCGACCAAAACCAAAAAACCCTAACAGAGAGAGGGGGGTGTTGGCGTATACCCTCTTGTTAATTACTGTGGGTGAGTGTATATTTTTCAACCTCGCTCCCCAATCCTCTGTAAACATCTACCTAATTACCCTGTTCAACAAAACCCAATTGGAGATTATTATCCATAGCTTGGATCTCATGGTAAATAATATTATTTGTTAAGTAGAAAACACTTGGATTATCATACAACTACACTATATTCCTTTTGATATATATCCAATATCATATTCTTAAACCAAATCCTTAGTTCTTCCATTGATACCTCATTAATCCCTAATTAATAGCAAATTCCCACACTTCAAAAAATGAATGAGATAAAGGAATAATTTTATGAATTTTTTAGAAAACTTACTCAATATTAAGATTTCTTTAAAAAAAAAAAAGCTTACCTTTATTTTAATGTTTTGCATTCCTACTTAATAGAATGTGAGCGAACATAATATGTAACTAGTAATTTACTTCGATCATATTTTAACTTTTGACAAATATTTCTAATATGTTTCACGTTCACAAATAATCTCCTCAACAAATTTTGCCTCATAACCGGACAATTCTGTAAAGACGGGATTATTCTTGAGACTTTTATTTACAGAGGCGTATTAGTTTTTACCAATAAAATATTTTTATATATTACTATAAGTATCATTAACAATTTAATTTATTTGGTAAATATTAGCTTTTATAACTCAAATCGTTTATTGACATTAAATTACGTAAATAATTTTATTTATCATATTTTATTATTATTTATTATTCAAAAAATTCTATATGAATACTTGTTTCTTTTTAAGTACTAATAAAAGTTGTGCCTTTAACATACATTTGCTTGTATACACATGCATTCGTGCATTCATTAAGTGAATTTTATTTGAAAGTAGTGTATGTACTGTTTAATTAACTAACTTATACGAAAAATTATTTTTTATTATACAATCAATGGACAAATATTTTTTATAGTCAGATTCTATAGATATAAGTACAATTTATAATACTTTAAAATAGATTTCATAATAGCCTCGTCAGACAATATATTTTTATTTTCAAGAAGAAATTCAGGTGATTCTTCTTTTTCTTGCCTTTAGATCATATTTATGTAGATTACAAATGTATATAATGCTTTAATGCTTATCAAATTAATTTCTCTATCCATTGACTCTTGACATATCTTAAAAAACTTATAACTTATAAGTCTAAAAAACATCAATCAGTCACTAGATCTTCAATTGAGACAGAATATAAAGCTATGACCATTGTTTGCTGTGAGTTAATATAGATCAGGTACTTACTTAGTGATATAAAGGTATATAACTTAGTAGTAACATATTTATATTATGATAATAAAGTTACAATCCATATAGTTGTTAGTCCTATATTTCATGAGAGAACTAAACATACTGATATAGATTGTCACGTAATTAGAAATAATGTGCAGGAAGAGAGTATTGTAATGATACGTGTGAACAGTAAGCAACAGTGAACAAACATTTTCACAAAAGCTTTGTCTAGTTGGCTTCTCAAAGAGCATATGCTCGAGATGAGATTAGAAAAAATCTTCTCTCCATCTTAAGGGGGGATATTAATAAGTCGGTGTGAAACAGGCCAAAGAAGCATAACCCGCACCGTAGCCCATACTAAGAAAACCTAAAACGCACAGTTTCACTTAAGTTGAGAGAGGGATTCAGTGTGTCAAGCTCACGTGCACTCAGGATAGAATGAGTATAAAAATCAATCTTCCCCAAAATCTGCATATTCTTCTTCCTTCCGCCGCAACAGAGGCAAACTCTAGGGTTTTTGTTTTCCTTTATTTTTCGTGTTTCTCCTATGTTTCTTGGTGAGTCTTCGGGCACCTTCTTCAATCAAATGGTCGCAGCAAGAGAAATCCTCACAGATTTCTCACTTTCGGGTTCTTCACGGCCACCGGAAACCGCGTACTCAAATATGGTATTCTCTTGTGATTTTTACCAAATATTTGTAGATTGTGAACATTTAAAATAAATCTGTTGGTGAATATTGGATTTCTTTCATATATTAGTCTTAGAAATTGAAATAAATATTTTTGTTCAGCCAATACAATTATAAACCAATAACACATATCAATAGGCATTGAACAAGCTAGAGAACTATATATGTATATATTTTATCTCATACAAAAATCTTATTAAAAATTTCTGTTAGTAGAATGTTAAATATATATGGAGGATATCTTTATAATAATTTTTTTAAAAAAAGTATTATTTTTGGTACATCTAAAATTTTTATAGAACGGTTTTTTTTTTAGTTATCCTTAAAATATATATGAATATATCAGAGCTTTTTAAATTTATATATATTTAATATAAGATTTAGTAAATTTAAATTAAATCGTAATTAAATCTATAAATTTTAGTGGCTAGTAAATAATTGCATATTTTTATACCTCAATTATTAAATATTGCATAATATATAATAGAGGTAATGGTTTAATTAGTGGCCAAGGGGTATGGATTGAGAGAGAAAAATTGTAAAATGTAATCAAATCTGATTTTTTCTCAAAAATAAGGAAAAAATTAAATCACTATCCCTACCTCTTTATGTAGAATCACTTAGAGACACCCTGAATGTACATGACCATTCACCACTAAATCCTTGTGTGGGATTTATAACTTTCTTGCTTTCTTC